TTGTTTTGTTTTGTTTTGTTTTGTTTTGTTTTGTTTTGTTTTGTTTTGTTGAGAAAAGAAAATCATTCGGGCCCTTGTGTGTGCTAAGCCCCCGGGGGTGGTCGCTGTGTGGTAGCTCGTCTCTAGCACACAGGATCTGCCTGTTCCCGGGTGAACGGCTGCGCCACACATCAGTGTTACTACGTACAGATGACACTCTAGTCCTGCTGCTCCCGAGGAGCAGCGTTTGCTAAATCGGGTATATAGTATGCCTTTTCCTGTCAAACTGCCTAAGTAAGGGGTGCGCGCTCTCCCTGAAGCACTCGCTCAACTCCTGTCAAAGCTGCGTGCCTCAAGGGGAGGCCGGACCCCCAGTGTTTACCCACTTAAATATGTTCTGGGGTTTCAGGTAAACGTTTGTGATTTTTTTTTTTCCTTACACGAATACGTTGGGTTTTGATTTTTCTTTTAAGAATTAAATGCAAAAAATTTGTGTGGTGGTAACAAGTTAAGTTCGTGACAAGAAATGCCCAAATGGAGGACATGAGAGGTCAGGCTCAGGGAAGGAACACCTCCTTTTCACTCAGGCTTGGGGCCTTCTGAGAGGTTTCCAGAGCATTCCGCGATAGATGAGACAAGTCAGGAGGGGAGAGCACTTGGGGCAGGTACCTCGAATATCCTGGTTCTTGTCACCGTTGTCAGTCTTAACCTTATTTACATGGAGTTCTTTGTATTTGTCAATTTGTTTCACTGGTTTGAGTTTACCAAAGAGTGACTTATCCAAAATTGTCTTTGACAAAACTATACATTGCTTTGATTGTACAGTTCAGGTTCAACCATTGTAATGGGACTGTTAAGGGGCAGAAAATTGATTGAGTTTCTCTCTAAGAACCATGATTCCGCATTTTGCAAGTTCCACTTGCTCCCATTCATGTTGCTAACACTTTACCCTTTCCACTGCTAGCAGTGTTAAGAATGAATTCTCAAGCCATAACCCAGTACTGTAAGGTTCCACAGGGCTTCGAGGAGGCAGCGCGTAGGCCAGCACCGAGCTGGGTAGCCTCTCTGAGCGAGCACGCTGTCGTGTTTCTCGGCGTGCGTGGCGGGTGGAAGGTTAACTCCATTCAGATCGGGCAGCAGCAATCAATTGTGCCTTGTCACAGGAGGATGTGCCAGGAGGATTAACATGGCCACAGAACAGAAACCTTCTCTCCCCGAAGTTCCCTCCACGTCTCCGCAGACGAAGTACGCTGTGTAACTCCTTAGAGCAACTCTTTTTTTGGAAAGCAAAGTCCCTATCTCTGTACAGGTTTAGGTTAGATGTTTCGTTTCTAACAGATGCAAAAACCAATTCAGATAAAAGCGATCTGTGAAGAAATCTTTTACAGCAAAACATATCCTGAATTCATACAGGTCTGTTCATAATTGAGTCTCTCCTTGAGCTACCTTTTCAAATACGTAGACAATGTGAAGACAGTGACAGCGTCCTTTTCTATAGGTGTTTAACCTGCTATTACAAACTGTGAAAACAAAGAATTTTATACTTTACTAACGTTTGTGGGTTTTAAACAGTTCCTTTCGTTCTGATCAGTTCTTTCCCCTCTAATTTCTACTAAAGCTGTAAATACATTTAGAAATTATATTTGTAAATACAGCACACGAAGACAAGTTCATTTTTTGGTTAGCGGAAAGCCTCCCAATTGGCTCTGCTTTGGCAGTTTTGGTTTCGTGTGTGTGTGTGTGTGTGTGCGCGTGCGCGCGTGTGTGTGTATGGTTGGTTTTGTTGTGTGTGTGTTTGTGTGTGTGTGTTTTTTTTTTAATACAGCAGAAAGGATACTGTCGGTTCACTGTTAAGCAGAATATACTGTAGAACTAAATTGAAAATTTTTCAATCTTCCAGAGCATGAGTAGATGTCTTTTCTCATGACAGCAGTTATAACCAAGTCTTTGTTTTTCCCTTAGCCCAGACCATAGGCCTGCATATGTTCGTGTGCGGTTTTGTTTTTACTTTTATTTTGACGGCCTAGACTCTAGGAAGAATTTGCAGGAACACAAAACAAGGGCTGGGGGTGGGGGTGGGGGTGGGAATCATCTCTGTGAATGAGCTTTACTTTCAAGAAATCAATGTATTTTATTTTAACAACTTTTTCTATTAGTTACTGTGACTTTTGTTGTTGTCTTTGTTATTGTTAAATTCTGTAATGGTTTCCTGTGAAGCCTCCACTGAAAGGGACTCAAATATGCAACACCTAAACTATTTTCCAAGGGCACATGCCCCTTGAATGGTGCTTCTAGACTGGTCAGGGTTATTTATTAAATTTTATATATGAAAGTATTGGGGAATTATGTAAATTCTTTATATGGAACTATCTAGTTCATAAATCATAGATTTCATATTACTCAGTGCAACTGAACTGAACGTTCAGAAGAGTCATTCACATTGTTCCAAATTTGTAATGGTTGTCACACGCCACACACGTCTTCTTCAGTAAGTGCCAGAGCGTTCCCACTGTTTCTGCCCAGTGCCCGACTTCTCTGCCCGGAAGAGGACCTTGTTTCCCCCGGTTCCCCTCTGGGGCTGGCACAGACAGGGCTACCCTAGTTCTGGCTCCAGCCCTGGAGTAAGCCTTGCAGCAGATTCAGTAACCAGACCTCTTGCTGCCCCTCGGTGACGAGTATGCTGTGAATTCAACCTTTGGACTTGCCGCCCAAGCCCTTGGTTGCTGCCCTGACTATAGTAAGAGGTAAACTTACCTGGTTTCTTTGAGAATGACCATTTTCCTAATGTGAAAACCATCTCTCTCACCACTTTTATTAGTAGGGCTAACATTTTTTTCCGTTATAAATGGTTGAGCAATTTGAATGACTTAACACAGTGTCATTATCTTGCAATATAAACTGGTAACCTCACAAGTCCACACTTCATCGCCATATGAAGTAAATGAAGCTAGCTAAGCGGATGCTGTATCAACTAGTAACTTGCCATTAAGGATTATTTTATAGCATGAATTTAAGACTATTTATTCAAATGATATTTTACTCTTGTATTCATTTTGTTTTAGATTTGTGACATGAATATTTCAGTGCTGCTTAATTTTGTTCTGAATTCTCGTTTCTTGCTTGTAAATGGCTTTTTTATGGTATAAAGTCAATGGAAATTGCTGTTTGTAAATAAAAATGCTGCTAGAGCAAATGTGCTGTGGCCTCCCTCTGCATTTGCCCCTCCGGCCTCCGAGAGTCCCGCTGGCTCTGCCGACGTCTGCCGTGGCATAATTTCTGTAACCGCTGCTTTTGAGAGGTTGGGATTTCACAAGAAGCTCTTGTGCCACCGCGGTGCTGCGAAGAGGAGAAAGAAGTAGGTGTATTTCTATATACCTCTCTCTCGTGTGGTGAAGACTGATTGTCGGGGGCCGCTGTGTGCGCCCTGTCTCCCCTAGAACAAATCGCTGGTGACTCCTGTGCCCACGTGCCTGCGGAAGCACCCCTTTGGTCCCCGGGATGTGCCGTGTTCACTCCCGCCGCAGAGCGTGGAGCCGTACGCGTGGTTTCCGCTGCCTCCAGTCGTCTTCTCCCTGCCAGCCAGTTAACTGTCCTCAGATTTCAGCTCAGGCCTCCTTCCGTCAGGGAACCCTTCCTACGGTCAGGCCCCTTTCCCACTTCCTCCTGCCCTTCAGAGTATGTATTTCCCGTGCGCGCGCGCGCGTGTCCATCGTTTATTTACATTCTAGTTAGTTAGCATATAGTATAATACTGGTTCTAGGAGTAGAATTTAGTGATTCGTCACTTACATCAGAGCGCGTATTTTAACTGATAACTGTATAGTGATGTGTTCACTTAATGTCTCTCCCTCTGGCCTATGATGTCAGCTTCATGACAGCAGGGATCCAGGACCTGGCACTGCAGCAATAAGGGTTGAACGAATGAGCAAATAAGTGCCTGTGTTCTGGGAGGTTCGAGCAGGGAGGGCAGCACGGCTGGGAAACAGGCAGGGATTAAACTTGGCTCCTAGTCTGCTGGAGTTCCTTGCTCCTCGCTGTAAAACAGGGCCTCCCCTCTCAACAGGGCTCCTGTTCAGCAAAGTGGGCAGTGAGATGGAGGGCAACGAGGTGGACCCCGGTGTGAGAGCTCTGCGTAGGGACTAGCTTCACGTGCCAGCTGGGGGGGGGGGGGGGCCCAAACCCCCAAGGCAATCGAGGGCTCAATGGGGAAAGTGCATCGACTTCAGGTCTGACTGCTAGCCATGCCTGTGCCTGACCATGACGTCAAGCAGGTGCCTCACCCTCTTTCGTCCCGGTTTATCCATAAGATGGAGTTGGACTCTCGTGGCTCAGATAATTTGTGAGGCAATGGCTTCTGATAGATTTGCTTTCTCTTTAAGGCTGGAAAGGCAGCCCAAGTCCAGAGTCTGGGGCCAGCCTCTCTGAGAGGGCTAGAGGAATATCCCGAGGGGATGTGGTTCTTGAAATGGGAGCACCGCTTGAAGCAGATCCACTGAGTTGGAGCAGGGGTGTGTAGACTGTGTTGAGCTGCTTTGCTGACAAAGGCCACCGCCAGCAGCTGGCTCTTTTCATTTGTCCTGAAGGCACGATCCTTTGGTTTCTTCCTGTT